GGCAGGCCCCGGGCACCGCGGGCAGGCCCCGGGCACCGCGGGCAGGCCCCCGGCAGCGCTGTCCCCGAGGCCTGCCTCTGCCTCTGCTCCAGGTGTCCGCCGCTCCTTCTCAAACCACATCGTGCCCGTCTTGGAGCGCTGGTGTGGGTGGTGTGGACAGATGGGTGTGGATGGATGGGTGGACACATGTCATGTGGTAGATGGATAGGTGGGCAGGTGACTGAATGTAAAGGTGGGTGGGTGACGATCAGACAGATAGGTGGACAGAGCTGGATGCCAGTACAGAGGGAGGAGGCATCTGCACAGCTAGACAAGGCACTCTGTGATCCTGTGGACCTCCGTGGCCCTGGGACCCACCCTGTGGCCCTGTGGATTCCCTGGGACCCATTCCGTGGTCCAGTGAACTCTTGGGAACCACTCCGTGGCCCTGTGGACCCCTGGGACCCACTCCATGGCCCTCCGTGGCTCTGGCCCCCGCACAGGGTAACGAGGTGGCGGCCGTGCAGCCTCCCGTGGTGCAGCTACACGAGGGTGGCCCGTACGCCCGGAGGGAGCACACGCATGCCACAGAGCGGCCCTGGCGGGCAGACGGCGTCCTGGCGGTCCCTCCGCGCCTGCCGGACCCCCAGGCGTACCCTGGCGTCCCACACCACCACCACCACAGCCACCACAGCTCCTACATGCACCTCCGGCCCGCCCACCCCACCAGCTCACCTGCCCACACCCACCAAGACTTCCAGCCGGTGGTGAGTGCCACGCCGGCGCGCCTGTCCTCGGGGCTGGGGGGAGGTGTCCAGGGAGGAAGCCTGGGCAGGGCTACTAGTGAGCTTTTTTTTTTTGTAGTACTGAGACTTGAACTCAGGGCCTCATGCACTCAGCTTGGTTGCTCTGATGGTGCTTTGCCACTTGAGCCACACCTCCAGCTTTTGCTGGTTACTTTGGAGGCGGGGTTTCATGGAGCTCTCTATCTACACTAGCCTCAACCCCGAGGTCTGGACCTCAGTGACTAGGACTACAGGGCCCGGCACAAGTGCGGTGGTGGCCGGCCAGGCCCATTCCACTGGCCATCATCTAGGTGGAACAGCACTGGACCCAGTAGGCCCTGCCCACGCTCACTGGACAGGGCACTGGAGCCTCCTGGGTGGCTGCCATGCGCCAGGCCGGGGTGGGAGAGGTTCTGCTGGGCCAGGGCGTGGGCAGGGGTGCTGCGGGTGTCCCTGCCGCCCACACGCCGCCAGGCGGCACCCCACATCAGCCCCAGACGCACAGTCTCCCCGGTTAACGAGACTCAGGGACCTCGCCGCAGGCTGGACTGCGGGGCCTTTCGTGACGTGACATGGCCTCTCTCCCAGCTCCACCTGATCGCGCTCAACAGCCCCCTGCCAGGCGGCATGCGTGGCATCCGAGGGGCCGACCTCCAGTGCTTCCAGCAAGCGCGGGCCGCGGGGCTGCCGGGCACCTTCCGTGCCTTCCTGTCCTCGCGGCTGCAGGACCTGTACAGCATTGTGCGTCGCGCTGACCGCGGGGCAGTGCCCATCGTCAACCTCAAGGTGGGCGTGTGGTCTGGTGGGGCCCCAGGGGGCTGCGCCCGGGGGCTCGGGAGACTCCAGCGTTCACAGCCCCTTCCCGGCCCCGAGGCCTGTCCCTCCCCTGCCCAGCCACCACATGGGATGGTGCCACACACGGAATGCACCCAGGACCAGGTCCTGAGACACCTCGGCCCCTCAGCTGTGTGCCTCGCTGGGTCTTATGCCCGCTGCTTCGTGCCAGGGGCTGGGGTTCCCACGGCCTGGGGCTGTAGATGGACCGTCAGAGCTCCCGGGAGGGGAAGTGACCCCGGATTGTGGGGCCTCCCTGGCACGGGTGCCGCTGGCCTAAGGAACCCCCTTCTCGGCAGGACGAAGTGCTGGCCCCCAGCTGGGAGGCCCTGTTCTCGGGCTCCCAGGGCCAGCTGCAGCCTGGGGCCCGCATCTTCTCTTTCGATGGCAGGGACGTTCTGAGACACCCCTCCTGGTAGGTCCTCCAGCACGCCATGCCCCAGCCCCCGGGCGGCCCCGCACGGGACCGCTCACCCTCCCCTCGGCCTCGATTGATCCTGGAGTTACAAACCCGCAGGGTCTGGTGGTGCTGATACCCCTGTAATGGTATTTCTAAGAGCAACGTAGCTCTCAGCACTCTTGAATACATGCGGGCTGGGTCCGTGCCCCCGATGCCCGTTCCCTACCACGGAAACAGCAATGATTACTGTCCCCGCAAAGGTCAGCTCAGAGCAGCAGCCTCGCTGCAGGCCGGTGACCGCGCTGCCGTCACGCCGGCCTCAGGGGCGCCGCTCCAGCCGCCAGCTGTGATGGTGCCCGCCTTCCAGTGTCCTCGCGGGGCGGTGTGGGACGGGGGCAGGGAGTCCAGGCAGCGGCTGGGTTCTG